AAAGATAAATAAAACAACCAAAGAACCAAATAAACGTTTGAAAGTTTACGAAAATATCAATAATTTTACAACCCGTAAACAAAATGAAAGCATGTAATCTATCAAAAAGAACAAATCGAATCTTCACATCTCCTGAAAAACAAGTCATTGCTTTAAGGATTGGGATGCTTATTATCGATTTTGCTTCCTAAGTGTTTCTTCGATACCCTGTAAAATATTCCAAAACATTATTCACAAACACGACCATGCAAGGAAACCAGTATTGCCCAGAGAACTTACATGGATCTGAATCTAGCCACTTCAGTAAGGCGAAGGTTCACCATGATCATAGTGGGATATGTAGTGGATATAGTGACTTTTCCTAAACATGTATTCAATTGAAAACATTAATAAACAATCACGTTTCTAGCAACAAAGACAATAACACGAAAACAACTAAATCAGACAAACCTGCGTAGACATCAACTATAGCCCATCTTACAACAAGAACCACCACATCACTGCTACAGCTAGACCAGTCATCATAAAACTTCCGAGCACCACTCCCAAATATCTCGCATTTGATACATATGTTACTGCAGAAGAAAAGAACAGATATCATGTGAAATATCAATCAAAAATGTCAGGCAGAATGATATGTGAAACACAACAACGTACCTTAGATCTCTCAGTGCGAATACAAGCATCGCACATCCACCAGTGCCGTTTTTAGGTAATTTCAACTCTCCCACGCACACAACTTGCCCAATAAAATCTAGAAAAAACCAAACAGATACAATCAGTATTTAAGACAAAGCAACAACGACGCAATATTTTATAGCAAACGAACATCCAAACAATAACATACCAACCAAAGACCGGTTTGAGGGAGACCTATCGAGAATCTGCTCAAAGCTTACAAAATCAAAAAAAAAATCGATCATATGGATGTAATTGCGTATCAAAACTGTCGGACCTAGAATGAGCACCTCACCGCGATGGGATGTAATTCTAGAATCGCTATTTAAATCAATAACAACAAAATTTCTAACTGTAACCTAGACGCCGTCACACAGCACAGAAGAGAAACGGTCGTAATCAACAGAATAAACGGTACCACAGATCTTCACACCCTGTAACATAAAACAAAACCAAACACTCACGTACCCAACAACGAAAATAATAACACAGGATACAACAACAGATCATCCAAACAAACCTTATCATCATACAAAACCAAATTCAAACTTTTATCAGTCGAATGAAACGAAGTAGTCCAAACTCGTAACACCTTTACGAAAACTACTGACCCAACAAAACCAGGTCTCAATTGTGAGACACCAAAAGAACCTGGATCATGCAAGAACTCTTTCAGTGTGAACTGCATATCAAAGCCATAGCCAATATTAGCGAGTGCACGTGAAACAACAATGGAAAGTGTCACATATAAATAGGGAATCTCTTACCATCTCGACCTCGGGAGCGGGGCAACTACCACCAGATAACTCGGGAGTATCCCTTTCAGAACGCACATCCAACGAATTATAATCCATGTCACCAAAATCGTCTTCGCCGAGCCATACATCACGATGTGCATAACGTCTATCATCGATATTTACATAAATGAGCAACCGCATAAACGATTCAGTAAAAACATAGTCAGTACACATGCTCTCTACTATAACATAAACATATCATCCACAAGTATACCCCGGACATCTGAATACACAAAGGACACGTTATACGACCGCAAACTGTCATCAAAACTCGATGAACTCGCCTCAACAAAGGAAATTCAAAAAAAAAATCAGAAAGAAACTATGAAATATAAAATAACCAACACAAACCATATCATAACGTATTCATCAAGAAAATAAAATAAAAATACCATCTCCTTCACACGTACGCATCGACGACTGGGTAGAATGTTCAAGGGACACAACACCATAGAGAGAAAGAACCATGATTTGAAAATAGGTTATTATCAACGCTGATGCTTATTAGAAAGAATATATATATATATATATATACATCTTGTCAATCTAACCGAATAAGTAATAAATTAGGGTTTATATTTTTATGCTCGATAACTTAAGTCTAAAAACAGTTAATTTTGGATAATAAATAAACCATAAGAGGATAATAAAATAATAATAGAGTCAAATATATGGTCATTTGTTATGTGTATATTTTTGAATATACAAACAAACAGAAATCAACACGCTAGAATCATGGGAAAATACACATAAAAATCATAATTAAAATATTATAAATATTAAAATTTCCCATTTAATATGTAATATCTAACCATCTTGGATATTACCAAATATATTGGATAACAGTTCTGAATATACCCAATAACGTTAATATATACGAGTACCGGTTATTACTTCCACAAGTCACTAATAACCATATTTTGATCGATATATATGGATCACGTATTTCAAACTATATTAATCATAAAATATCCATTATTACTTTATTAATCATAGTTGACCATATATCAGTCGATGTATATAAATCGCATACTTGAAAACACATTAATCACCAATTAGGATACCGAAAATTCATATAAATTATAGATATCTATAACAATTAAGTCATTAATATAGATACCAACGCAAAAATACAAAATCATAAAACAGGATCATATATCCACCATAAATATTTCAACACGATTATTAATTCCTAAACAAAGTAGGCACCGCCGAACCATCGTACCAACGACTTGCCTCCCACAACGCCGCAGCATACTCTTCATCATCATCGACTAAACCCAAAACACGGCATGCATCCTTAAACATCGGATAAACGATACCAGCCACCGTCTTTATAGAGTCAAAAGATGTCGGACCCTTTACCCTAAGCAACAGAAGCCTCAAGTAGTAAATCTCTCCTAAAGTATCAGGACAATATGCCAAACGACCGGGTTTCCTACCACCACGGCATCTAGGCTTCCAACACTTACTATTCCGATCCCATACAAACTTCGTAAGGAACTCTGTGTAAGTCAATTCCATTGCATCAGGGTAAACCTTATTACACTCCATCCAAGCTGTAAACTTCATCGAATACGCGTTGATATTCACACCGGGAAGATGATACGGTAGAATATATGTTGCTACAACAGTCAAAAAAAAAATCAACAACTTTCACATAACGACACATACCTAAGTAAATATAAGATCACACACCACAAAACATACACACTTAAAAATATACACGCAAATCATTACAAAACGACCAACTAACCAGTATAACGCATCGTGAATAATATAACACCCTGCGAAAAGATTCATTTAAAGACGCAGTTAGATACGATAACGAAATAACAAAATTAATACTAACAAAGGAAATATCGTATATACCAACAGCATCCAACAAAATATATATATATATATATATATATATATATATATATATTATCCAAGGATGGCCAAACAAAGAGATTATGCGACATGCGAAACTTACCTTGATTACCAGAAAACCAAGTAACGGCGATCGGCAACCTATACAAAGAAAACACAAATACAAAAACCAAATACAGTTAGAATCATTTACACGACCCAAGCACAAGTATGAAAAAATCACAAACTATAATAATTTAGGTCGATAAAAGAACAATATATATATAGATACACAAACATGAAAAACAAAATCTGAGAAAACACAATAACTACATCAAACTTACCTTGATAACCAGTAAACCAAGCAACAGCGACAATAACCTTTAAAAAAAAACACAAACACGAAAACAACACGAGTTAGAATCATTGAGAAAACGATATACATATAGATATGCAAACATAAAAGAGCAAGATATTCAAAAACACAGTAACTTCACCAAACTTACCTTGATAACCAGAAGACCAAGCAGCGGCGACCAGTAGCCTATACAAAGAAAACAACACGAGTTAGAATCATTTAAACGAACAAAACACGAGTATGAGAACATCACGAGCTATAATCAACTAAGACGCCAGGAAAGCGATATATATACATTTATACAAACACAAACATAGAAGAGTAATATACACGAAAATAATAAAAACTAACCCTAAGAAAGACAAAAGCCTAAAAATGCGATGGTTTGAAGTTTAGGTTACAAAAAAAACAAGAGTATTTATACATACTCGACAACCCAGGGTTACCCAAAAATATTCATGACGAATATATTCGAAAAGGGAAAAACATCCTTATCCATATAATTCATAAATGAAACCATCCTTACCCAAATAATCCATATATTCGATTATAATATTCTTAAGCGAATATTCGATAAAGATATTCATAGACGAATGCATTTAAAAAAGGTAAAACCGTCCTTATCCAAATAATTCATAAATAAAACCATCCATACCCAAATAATTCATATATTCGACTGCCATATAATTCGGTGAATCGAAATAAAGTATCATCCTTATCCAACTAACCAATCAAAATCATCATTATCCAGCCAAACAATTTTATAAACCGTGTACAACACTAAACCGATAATCAAATCACGGTTTTCATTAAGGATATAATTGGAAAAATCGATGCCTAAAGTATGCTGAGAACGAACGTGAGCTTGACACGCCGGAAATCTACTTCTCAAATAATAGTATAAATCTACTAAATATTTTTTTATGAGTTTTATTCTAGTAATAAACAGATAAATTAGTGTTAACTGAAATAATTTCTCATTAACTTATAGAGACTACTGTATTTCATTTCATGAACCAAAATTGTTTTTGACAAATTCAAAGATCTAATAACAAATACAAGTCAGTTTCAATATTTTCTTTGTTTTCTTGCTATATTTATTCATAAGAATACAGAAATTTACTTGTGGTCAACAACAACAAAAAATAATACAGAAATTTAGTCGGGGGTTGAGCTAATAAGGATAAGAAATCTAAAAGAATACATAAATATTATGTTTCCTTAAATCATTTGTTCCGTTACACACTTATATTTATATATACAGTCATGCCTTACGAAATTAAACATCACAACATATCTTTGACAAAAGAAATACTATGATGTCATCATCGCATTTTGCTATCTTTTGCATCATCCTTGGTTCATTCTTGAGCCTCCATGAATGTATGTTGTATATGCATATAGTTAACCATCACCATATCTATCACTACTTTTAAAATTGTTATATTTTGTTTTTGTAAGTAGAAACATGGAGGAGAATCGTGACGCAAACAAAATAGTTTTATTTCCTCCATCACCGTGCGAACACGCGCGTTGCAGCGGTAGCATTTTTCGGAGTTGTCACTGCTGTAGGGGAAAGATAAAGTTTTGTTCGAAGAAGCAATCAGAATGTGAGGCGCACTGCCCAAAATTTAACCCGCCACTTTCCCCATAGATCTGAACTTTGTTTTGGCCACAATATATCTGCTTCAGTCGTATTGTGTCGCCGTCTATTTTGCTTTCTTTAATCATAATAAAAATAGGAAAATTTGTGTAAATAGGTCAAAAACTAACTTATTGTCCTACTAAATCTTTTTTAATTTTTGTCAAATTTTGACTTAATTATCCTTATATAAAATTTTAAAAATGCCAATAAATTATTTTAAAATCTAAAAAATTCAATGTATGTTATGAAAAATACATAAAAACAAAGAATTATCCATTTATAAAAAAAATTGTTTGGAAAAACTATTTTTCTTCATATCTACCGAAATCTAGAATTCATATTCTACCATCTACGATTTGGTAGAATACGTATTCTGCTGTTTATTTTATCATCTACCAATGGTTGAATACATATTCTACCATTTTTTATGTCGTCTACTAAACGGTATAAGTTGTCTTCTACGGTAGAATGTGTTTTCTACCGTTTATTTATTTTTCTACCAGATTTAGAATACATATTCTACTATTTTGTCTTTCTTCTGCGAAATGTAGAATATGTGTTCTACCAATCAGCTACAGAAATCTGGAAAATCTTATGGAAAAATCTTGTCCGATGTATTAAAAATTCGTTTTTTTAGACTGATCTGTTTGCATTCACAACCGATCGGTCCATGCACAATGATCAATGATCAATCGGTTCCATCTAAGACTGATCGGTCTTAACTTAAAATTGCCGTCGATTTGTTATCAGAATTCTCCTGACACCATCATAACGTGATAAATTCGAAGATGATTCAGATGAGGCAATCACATAGTAAGCTGGTAATCCAAAAGAGAATGAAGGAAGAGAGACCTGTAAATTTTTGTAAACATAAATCTCATAACCTTTGTCAAAGACGAAACAGAGAGGAAGAGAAAAAAAAAAAATCATTTGTCACTACACAACCCAATGCTTCTAAAGTTATATATAATCTCATATTGCTTCTTTGACTTTTTGTAGTCTCTGTAAACGCCAGACCAAGTAAAATTGTTGGTTGTTGGCAGGAGCAAGCAAAACTGGAAGAACTCAGAGGCTACACAGGGAAACCGATCTACTCGGTTTGGTGTGGATCAGAGACTGAGCAACGAGCTGTGTTTGTGGACGAGGTCAAGTGCGTTGGTTGCTTGAAGTGTGCCTTGTTTGCAGAGAGAACATGTGCTATCACAAAGCGCTCACAGGAGATCCAGAATTATCGCTCAATGGGCTGATCCTGAATCCAAAATCAAAGAAGCCATCAAAGCTTGCCCAGTAGACTGCATCTCGTAAGCACATGACGATGGTAGTATGTAGTAATGGTTTCGACTTTTCGATCTCTGTACGCATGCAAGTAATGACTGATTCTTTATGAGATGTTGCCAGAATGGTGGAGAGATCTGAGCTTGCGCCATTGGAGTTCCTTATGTCAAAGCAACCTCGAGGCAGCGTGAGGATCGGCGTTGGAAACACGGTTGGTGAGCGTGTCTCCAATGTATTTGTTGATGCCAAGAAGTTTCAGGAAAGATACGAAGCCATGAGCAGAACCACAAGGGAGAGCTCCCAAGTGAGTTTTTCTCCATTGTCCTAAGCCACATTAAAAAGCCAAAGTTATAGACTTTACCTGTCAGATATTTGAAGTAGTTCTGTATGGGATGTTTTGCGCAGGAGACGGACTTGCAGAGAGATGTGAGAATAAGTGCAGTAGAGGCAATTAGGTCTATATCCAATTGGCTATACTGGAGATCATCACCCTAATCAAAACCATTGAGTCCAGACTCGAACATGAGTATAACATTTACCAAACGGAGGAAAACGGTTGATCCAGATATCAGAAAGCTTCAAGATGCGGTGGCGGCAATGAAACAAGCAGAACAGAGCGGGAAAGCCAAAGAGAAAAGACCAGCTTCCATGGTTGGAGAAGATTATTGGATTCCATCAAACCAAGCTCTTCCCTCACCCGTAAACAATAGCAGTTCCAAGGCTACCTCGAATCCGCTGCAGGAAGAGATATTCGATGAGACGGATCATCATTTTGAAGACACGTGACAGTAACAGATTGAATACATGGTGGCAGAGTTTAGAAGATTAAATATGTTCGTACAAGTTTTTGTTGTGAAAGGTAAAAACTCAGGTTACATGTAATAACACTGCTTGTTAAATAGAAATTGTTCGGACTATAGGAACAAAGGTTTTCCTAGCATGAACTGTTAATATATGTATCGTACAGCATAGTCGTAAAGCAGAGAATCTCCGCATCTAAGGACTAAAAGAAACATTATGTCATGAGAATATAACATTCTGTCATGAGAATATAATTTTTCTCTTCGCCAGTTTTCTCTTCTTTTTCTTTTTTACTATTGTACTACTGTAATAGGTAGAAATACAAACCTGCATTTTAGTACTGTTTTTTTTTGTGTGGGACGAACGAAACTTAAAAAAAAAAAAATTCCATCTACGAAATCTCCATTACAAGAGAATTCTACTAAGAGAAGAGAATATAGAAGAGAGAAGTTCCGGATAAAGAAATTCCTAATCGGGACAGCAGTAGTAGCATTATTCCTGTTTCAGTTCCATGCCAGCTACAGAGCCTCTGAGCTCAAAGACCATATCGGTGGCTCGCTGGCTCTATCTATTGTCAACAGCCCATGGCAGCAGATTTTGTTAGCCGGTGTTACCTGGTACTTCATCGGTGCGATGCTGCTACAGCTTGTGGAAGCTATCCAATCCAAGCAAGAAGATGAAGGAGCTTAGGCTTCGTAGATATAGATTATATATGTACAGCAAATCCTCTTTAGAGCAGGTACTTGTCTACCTGCAAGTTAAACATATGTAACATTGAATATAATACTATACAACATACAAGTGCTTATTGAAATGATACCTGAAGAAGCATAAACATATATGCTCGAAAACCATTGTGAGAGAACGCGGCAGATGCAATGTCGATAACATTGCTCGTCAAGTGTTCAAGCAGAGTTTGATTTGAATCACTAAACCATCAAATTAGTAGAAACTGAGTCAATCGGTCTTTGAAAAATTTGGCAATGATTTTGACGCCACTTTTGGAACCGACCGGTCTCAAATAGGAACCGATCGGTTTCAAAAGTAGCGTCAAAATCCTGGCAAAGAAATCTTGTTAGACCGATCAGTGTCATATATAAACCGATCGGTTCGAGTTTTGCTCTTCTAATTATATATGTAAAAACGAAAAATAATAAAAATCTCTTATCTTTCAAACCCATTCTCTCGACCTCTTCTCTTTTTCTAAAGTTTTTTCTTTCTTCTCTCTGCGTCTATGTAAAATGTGGTGTATGGAAATCGGATGTGAACCAGGAGTGGAGATTCATCATTGATCAAGAAAATAAAGGAGGTATATTACTTGATTTGGAATCTATTACTAGTCTTGACGAGTTGAAGACGATAGTTTTAGAGGACTACAAGATTGAACAAAGCAGTAGTTATGTCGAGTTCAGCTATCTACCTAGCGATTTTATCAGTACCTTAGGATCTCCCCCAGTTGTTATCATCAATGATCGGTAAGTGAGAAATTTTGTTGGATATGCAAAGAAGTATTTGTCGGTACAGTTGTGTGTGACATTTACAGCTACAATTGACAATGGAAAAAGTAGAGTCAATATTGATTTGAATAAGGAACCATCTTATTCAAGTGTTGGAGAAGATGACGTTAAGTTGCCTGATGAATCAGAAGAATTTGTGAATGTGACTAAGGTGAATGATGTTTATGTTGATGGTGATGATGAAGTAATGTCTGAAAACAAAGAAGACAATAAAAAGGAAGATCAGTTTTGGTCAATGGATTGTGTGAAGAAGGGACAACATTTCGGAAGCAAAAATGTTATGAAGGTAACTCTGAAGATTTGTGCAATGAAGTATAACTTTGACTACAGGGTTGTACAATCTATTACAAGATGGTGGAGTATACGCTGCACGGATAACTTATGCAATTGGGCTGTTCGCGCGGAGTCTTTAATTGGATCTTCCTATTTTAAAATCAAAAAGTATGTGGCTAAACAAATCCGGTAGGACAGCTTCAGCAAAAACAATTGACAATCTGATTATGCACAAGTATGAGGGCGCCAAAGAAGGGCCTAAACCGAATGATATTATAAAGATTATGCGTGTGGACCATGGTTGTGAGATCTCTTATAACCAAGCGTGGGAGTCCCGTGAGTATGCAGTTAACGCTGTTAGAGGTATTCCGGAGAAAAGCTATGGGAGAATACCAAAATACTTGTACATGCTAAAAGAAGCTAATTCGGGTACGCATACTGATTACAAAACTGATTACGATGGTAGATTCAGATATCTTTTTGTTTTTTTTGGTCAGTCTATAAGAGGGTTCTACAAAGCTATTCGGAAGGTCATTGTTGTTGATGGTACGTATTTGAAGAGTAAATACAAAGGAACTCTACTTGTCGCTACATCTTTAGATGGTAACTCTAATTTGTATCCAATTGCATTTGGGGTTGTTGATTCAGAGAATGACAAGTCATGAGAGTGGTTTTTAATGCAACTAAAGGTTGTCATTGCAGATGAGGATAGTTTGGCTTTTGTTTCAGATAGAAATTCCTCAATCGAAAAATCACTCGTGAAAGTGTACCCTCGTTCTAGACATGGAATTTGCATTCACCATTTGCTGAATAATGTGGTAGCATATTTCAAGGGAAAGGGTTTGAATGGCCTCGTTGCAAAGGCTTTAAGAGCATACAGGATTGCTGATTTTGAGAGATACTTCAAATATATCTGCAATATTAGTCCGGGCATTGGAAAATATCTACAAGATGCTGATGTGAAAAAATGGGCTCGTTGTCTATTTCCCGGTTTCAGGTATGATGTTAGGACCAATAACCCTGCTGAATCGATAAATGCTGCATTGGTGAAACCAAGAGAATATCCAGTCATTACTTTGTTGGATAGCATCAGAGAGATGTTAACCAGGTGGTTTTATGAGCGTAGAATTTTAAGCTCAAAACAGAAGCATCCTTTAACCATTGAAGTGGAAAAAGATGGCAAGAAAGATTGAGAAGGGTAAAACATGTATTGTTTTCCCGGTTGACCATAACAGATTTCAAGTTAAAGGTGACAAATTTGACTGCATAGTTGATTTGGGCAGTAGAACTTGTTCTTGTGGAAAGTATGATTTGTTGAAGATTCCTTGCAGACACGCCATCAGTGCAGATTTTTCAGTAGGCAAAGAAGTTTACCCACTCACAGATGAAAGGTATACTACAACTGCATGGAGATCGATTTATGAAGAAAGCATTAATCCAATAGGTGTTCCTGAAGATGCATGGCGTGTTCCAAAGGATGTTGAACTTGCTAAAGTTCTACCACATAAAACACGAAGAACTGCAAGTAGACGAAGGAAACGGAGACATGAAACAGTTGAAGACAAGATACGATCGTCACAAGGATCACAAAGGTCCAACAAGCATAAGTGCAGTCGGTGTGGTATCGAATGCCACAAAAGAGGAACTTATGAAATAGCAATATAACAAGTTGCACTTTCTCTATCTTCTTATGTTATTTCATTTTGTTTTGAATTTGGTTATGAATTACATTGTCAGAATACAGTTTTTATTCATTTGATTTCAATCTTTAATGATTATTCAATTCTCCTAAACAAGTATACTCTATATTTGTGAGCTCTTGACTTGTGCGATTTTAGTTTCCAAAGTTTTAATGGAAAAAATCTCTCAAAACATCTTTTTTGGTTTCTGAAAATAGCAGATTTTGATGATTTTTTGCTAACTTGTGAAGCGATTTGTGGATGGAGTTTAACTGCTATATGACTTTAACAATCTATATGAAATAACTATGCTGAAAATAAAAGTTAAAATTTGAATTAGGCTAATACCCTTAATGAATACAAAGCTTTGCATGTCTATTTTAAGTTTTTTGGAATCTAATAAAATTAAAAAATGGAATTTATTTTATTATTTAGTTATTGTATCGAATAATATATATTCTGAAATAAATTAATATAAAAGCATAATTTCCATAATGATAAATCTGTATCTATGTTTATCGATTTATAAAAAAATGAAAAATCAATATATCAAAAAAGTATTCGGCCTGAACCCTATAAATATTTTTATATAAATAGTGTAATCTCTCAGCAACAACTTTTTTTGTCTTTATCATTGTCTAGGTTTAGCTTAGTTCATGTAGATTTTTGTTTATATTTAATTTAGTTTGTGCAGATGATGGTTTATTTATTGTAATTGTTGTTATCGTTATATTGATATGAGGCTGATCTGCTGTTTTTTTTTTCTTTTTATTTCTTATAAGGTATATGGAGAAGGATAATCAAACAATTTGTAGCCATGTGAGAGAGAACAAAGGTATGTTTCTATTGATTATCATGTTTCTCCTTCATATTGAGTTTTCAGTTTTCTTTTTTAACACTTTGTTTTATTGATCGTTGTTTCGAATGATTGAAATATAAAAAAGATCTTATAAATAAAATACGGAGAAAAACCAATAATCTTTCCCAACAAATTAATAAAGAGATTTAATTGATGATATATTGACGATACTAAAAAAATCTTGTTATGAAGTTTGAAAATGTCAATAAAAAACGTTCCCGTACCCACAATAGTATACGGACTTCTTATACTTATGATGACAACATGACAATAATTCTCACAATGTAGATAGATCTCTTCTTTGATCAAACTTGAACTTTCCAATCAGATCAGTAAAGCAGAGGTGAGGAGTGGATGATCTAAACCAGGTAGCATCGAATATCCAAAGAGAAAAGTGATAGACCAAACTGAAGAGAGAAACAAACATGTTTCCAATAAAACAAACAAATAAAAGCCCGACAATCACAAAACAGAAAAGCCGATATAAACCAGATCTAAAAGATAGATCCAGACCAAAAAGTAAACAAAAAATCAAAGGCATTTAGAGCAAGTTAAACCGAAAATCAAAATATTTTTGACATATTTTATTAGTTATTATTAACGTCAACTTCATTTCTTCTCTTTACAAATTTACAATAGTTTTTAGACTATTTTTAGCCAAAATTTTGTATGTAACAGGTTTTAAAAAAAATATATATTTTGACCCATTTTAAAATTTTATTTTAAACTTATTAGTAATATTTAGAACCAGTGTTTTATTTTGAATCCCAAACCAAAAGTTTGTGTCTAACATTTTAGCACATTCGAGTTGTGATTTTTTTTTATTAATCCAATATCAACAACACATGTAAATATAATCTTTTTTTTTGTCTCAAATTGGATACTTTCAAATTCTAAATTTCGCAATTGAGATCTTTTTCCGATCTTTAGCTTCGATCCTTTGCTTTAAAAATCGGTAATTCTGATTTGATTAAAAAAACTTCTATAGTTACTGGTGTCTTATTGTTAATATTTGAGAAGAAGAAAACACGAAAGCCGTTTAGGATCATCAATATACAAATAAAGATAATAATACATAAAACTAATGTATGTGTTTCTGAATATTGTATGAAGAGTATTTCTATTAAGACATATGTGAACATCCGTGATTTTTGTTTTAGTTTTTAATCAATATTTATATAAATTCTCTTAAAGAATAACTGAAGCAATATGTTAAAAAAAAAAACTCAAGCAGATTTATATTTGTAAATTATGTGGTTTTGCAATTAATTGTTTTCTATATTCAGTTGGTATAACATCAGAAAATTATATATAACCAATATTGAAATTTCGTGGGAAATAAAACCATTATTCTTGCTTCAACATCAATTCATCTTAGGTAATCTAGTTTTTTTCACAAAAATCAAAGTTTAAGGTGTGTAGTTAGATTTTTAATAAAAAATATATGCAAACTAATATACATTGACTAACAATAAAAACACATTAATATTTTTTTAATTCTAATATTTTTCTAAAACATTTCAGTTGCTTCCACACTCATGTAGGATCTACTTTAAGGATCGATAGTTATATCACAAAAAAAATTGTCTTGCCATGACATAAGAAAACAGAAACAAAACACAAGCATTTTTTGTATTCATAGGGAAAACAAAATATAAGAGAGGCTCTCATTACCAAATCTGCATAAAATCATATAGATCATTGTTAACTCTGTTTTTTTATGAAATATATCAACATGCTGGTCACCTAAAAAGATACTGATTTTGCAGGATTTTACTCTACCAAGAATTGTTATATGAATATAAGATATTGTGAGAATATATATTTTTGATTGAAATAGAAAGAAAATAAAATCAATTTAAGAAAAAAAAACATTTATAATTGCATATTCTAACAAAATATTATATTTTTTTCTAAAATCATATGATTCCTAAAATTTTGTTTGTACAGAATATTATATATATTTTGTATCTATGAAATCTTGTAACATATTTTCTAAAATAATTTTTTTATGAATATTTTTTTCTGGATCTTCTTTTTATAAAATTAATACTCAAAATCAGTAAATCAGTACAATCCATTAATAAATTAATAAGCCCATTACAATGAAACTCAATATAAATCCACTGTTCGAGAGCAAATTTCGGAATGCCATGTGGGGTTGTGTGATTTGTCTGGGGAGTGGAGCCGTGCCTCCGAGTTTCGTTCTCTGGGGGAAAAGGCGACGAGATGTTCCGGGGCGGAAGCCTGTTTGGATCATGTTGGCAGGGTAGTCGATATATCCGGCCCTGCAAACACTACGCAAGAGGTCAATCGGGCCTCCAGGAAGATCGAAAGAGGGTTTCCCTACCGAAGGTTCTCCGACGCCCAAATCAATGAACGCTCTACCGGAAACAAATACTCATGAGGGTGTTTCTACTGGTTTGGGTGAGAAGTCTCGTCCGGAGATCGAGACATCTATCTGTTTTCGAGTGTTTCGAGGGGGTTCTATACAGAAAGAGGGAGATTCAGCAAGTATAAAGGCAGGGTTCCGGGTCAAGAACAACTTGGCCTGGTAGGCATTCTCTTCGAGGGAACAGAGGGTTCTCCCTCGATCATGCTATTCGGTGGTGCAAGTGGGTTCAATTTGGTCGGGCATCTCCTCCTTGAGATGGGTTTCGGATTTGCCGACCTGATCCTCTTCTAGTGTGGTGATCTCTCTCCTTTTATACTAGCTTTCTCCTTGTCATGTCCTCTCCATTTGGCGCGCCAGAGGAGCAGGTGGGCCAATGATTCATGTGTGTTCAGGGAAGCGTGTTAACTACCCGGGAACAGTATGCGGGAGTGGTTCAGCCGAGCTAGGAAGGCGTGTGTCAGTGTCTAGGGCAGGTTAGCGTCCACGTCACGCTTGGAGGTCGGTAAAACCGATCCCAACACCCACATTATTTTGTGTATTTGTAATTAGACAATATTACCCTCAAAGAATTAATGCAATTGTCTAGCAAATATATAATATCACATTTAGTAAATATCATGGTAAGTTTTGAACATTTCAAATTATTGCTTCTCTTTTAATAATATAGATTTCGATACCGTATGAATAAAAATCCAATCCAATTTAAGTTCCATAATGGATTAAATTCTGTGTTCGAAATGTTTCCATAATGGATTGAATTCCTTAAATTTATTTAGTTCATCAAGCAAATACAAAAATATATAATAAATAATAATATCAGAGAAATAAATAAATATAGGCATGATTTAGTAGAAAAAAATGACTGATAAAATTATATTACGACATGTACACAAATTAAACAATAAGAATTGTTTTTTAAGTTTGATTTGTTTTCATAACTATACCATTTACACCCAGATTTTAGTATATCATCATTTTGGTGGGGGTTATCGGTTCTATGATGTTAATTGATTTAGAAAAATCAACCAAATTCAGTGTTATTGGTTCTATGATTTTAAAATTCATATTCAAATGCAGTGTTATTGGTTCTATGATTTAAAATCTATATTCAAATTCTGTGTTATTGGTTCATAATTTTAAAAAATCATGGATTTGATTTTAAAGAGGAGTTTAGTGCATTTGGAAGGATTTCCATGTTAAAAATACAAAGACTCAAATTCAAGCTTAAATCTTTGATTTTGTAAAATCAACATGTTAGATTTTAAAAATCAATAAATTTTAGAAAGATTATATGGATTCTCAAATCAACAAAATACATAAACCAATAATACCCTCTTGATTTATGGAAAGAAACAAGAACAAAGAAAGAAGAAATATGAAAAAATAAGAAAGACAAAGAATGAAAAAAAAAAAAGAAGAAGAAAAGAAAAAGAAGACAACAACTAATGAAAAACAAAAGAAAAAAAAGTAAAATAAGAAGAATATATTGAAGAAAATAGAAGATAGAAAAATAATTCAGATATAGAAAATGAATAAATAAGAAAAAAAAATTAAAAAAAAGAAGAAAAAGAATTTAAAATATACAAGGAAAATGTCTACGAACAAAATATAAAAAGAAGAAGCATAAGAATAAATAAGAAAAAGAAAAAAAAGAAGAATTCAAATATTCGAAGAAAAAGAATTATGAACAAAATATAAAAAAAAAACAATAAGAAAACGGGTAAAAAGAAAATGTTGAAAAAAATGATGAAGATTTTTGAAAAAGAAAAATATGGAAAAAGAATAAAATGGATGAATAAAACTGTAATTATTTTAAAGTATTCATGCCATGCAAGACATGAAAGGGCAACCTATAATTTATCATCTTACATATGTATGTTTATTTAACATATTAAATAAAAATAAAAGATTACTTATTATATTAAAACGATTACTTCGTATTTTGGTGCATTGGCTTTTGAGGTTAGTGAGTTTGTGACATTTGACTTTGTGCTAGCCGACATCAAGGAAAAATCTTAGTAGAGTGAGCTAGCGTTTATAGGCTTTGCTAGCTAGTGTAATCCCGTCTTAGCGCTGGATCCAGGTTTGTTAGCTGAGCGTCAAATTTAGATACTGAGGACGGTCTTCGTTCGGGCCTCAGCTTGCTCCTTTGAGTAAAGGTTCTCTTTTCAGGCTGCCGGATGAAATAGCTTATGTTTTACGCAGTGAATGTTATCCTAATGGTTCTTCGAGTTCTCTCTTCTGGACCGAATCACGAATTCTGCTTCTATTCAGGTTTTCAAGTTCCTTATCCCTACTTATTAACACTAATTGCTTCATAGCTATGGTTTCGATAAAGTACTGATTGAATTTGCTTTTATATTTTTTATTCTTTTTTGCCATGGAACTAAACATTAGGTGAGTCAGTTTGTTAACCCATTTTGTAACACCTAAACATTTCATGAATATTTACAATTTAGCAACATAAAAAAAAACATCGTGAAAATACGTTTCTTCTTCCTTCTTTTTACATGTGTGGTTATGTATTTGTAAATGTATATTTGGATTTGCTCGTTATTGATGTATTTTGGATGTATTATACAATTTCAAATTAAATAAATGAATTAGAGGTAAAAAAGAAAAAGATAAATGCTAATTAGACATGTCATTCAAAGATATTGTAATATAAATCTGTGCATATTTGCCGTTAAGAGCTTAAACTAGTCGGACGACTCACATGAACAAAGAGTAAGACCATAAAGTGAAACTATACAGATACCTGTCTTTGACTCTTTGTGGTCCAAAGGACGAAGCCTACAACTGCTTTTACTGTAACGAAGCCCTTAGATCAATGAGCGGCTAGATAACACAAGGCTTCCCGAACTGATTCTGTGCCTTAGCTTCCACGTTTCCTTTAGAACATCCGCACTGTTAGGTCGCTTCAGATACTCACCCACATCTATCTTTAGCCTTCTTATTGGATTCACAGGCTTTGTGGCTGAGTCATATGGGCTCCAACTTCCTCTGCTACTTGTCGGACCAACGCTTGTCCCTTGCCCACACGATGCGTCCTATCAATACAACATTCATGTCAGAAGATTCTATGTCATATATCTAAATCAGGCCTGGGGGTTAGGCTAGTTTGGGTTTTTCGGTACGAGTACTTCAGTTAGTCTGGTAGTTCAGTAAAAAAAAAAAACTACCAAAAATAATTTATCGACTGAAGTTTTTGGTTTTTATGAAACTTCGGCTCGGGTTATAGTTTACCCGTAAGCAGTTTTGTTTAGCGCAAAAAGAGTTATTACCTGACTTGGATCAGATTCCCAGATGTTAGGTTTTGCATTTGGCGTGTGTGGCGACTTGTTAAGGCATGCCATTGCAGCAGAAGACTCGTCTGGAGTCTCCCATTGCAGCCAAGGAAGCATAACACCATCCATTTCAACAGGAACACTCTTCGGAACAGTGGCGCTTTGAGAGCTTTGCGATTTTATCAACCCGAAACTCGAACTGCTCTCGCTCTCGTCCTCGAACGATGAAAAGTCTGTGTCTTCTATGTTTGAAATGAATTCGTCGATGTATTTCTCTGCTTCATCTGTCAAACCCATGGACAACCTCCTGTCCTTACTCCTCTGTAGAAATAGGGAAAGATTTTAATATTTCAATGAAAAGAGGAAACATATGCTTGTTCTGAGAGTTTTGTAATACTCACCTTTCGCATCCTCAACGGCTTTTCGTCAGCTTCGGAGCTATTTTCAGTGAGTAATTCTTTCAAGTTCATAGAGAGCTCTCTACCACGTTGCTCCTCTAACATAATCTCAGCTAGCAAATCTCTCTTGCGTTCCTCAGACTGTTAATTCAAGGGGGAAAAGAGGCTTTGTATATTTGATCGTTGATTCCTCAATGAAAGAAACTACAGGCACAAAGAAGTTGTGTACCTCTTGCAATTTTGTTGCATAACTTTTCGTAAATGTGGAGACAGCATGGTGATCATCATGAGATTTCCGCTGTGAACCGTAATCAGAGTTCCCCAAAGATTCTCTTTTCTTTGGAGTTGCCTGTATTATTAACATTGTTCATTAAGATAGTAGACACATGTTTCAAAGGGAAATAGGCAATCACATCAAGCAAAATTCGTAAGATATTTGTTCAATTTCTGTTATCATCTGAAATAAATCATTATAAATTATTATTCACTCAGATTTCCAGAAAGATCTTCTTTTTACAGGTCCGGGTTGGTTTCAAACAGAGAGTGAACACTCATATATAAGTTTATTATGGCTGATTGAGTAACCGCAAACCTTATTTTGGGCATATACTGTTCGAATTATCCTCTCAGTTTCATGCTTGCTCGATCTGGACTCCTTTCCTTCATCATCTGTAACTGCAGAAGATTGACTCTGAAACATCCCAATCAATTTCTCCACATCAGTAACGAAAAATATAAAAAACAATTCAGCATATGGAGTTAAACCAGATATATATATATCATTTGCAAATTATTTAACCAAGCCTCTAAGAAGAAACATACATGACAAAACGTTTTCTAACAGAACTAGGATATTTAAATCTCAAAGTTTAGAAAACAAAGAATATCTAGACTTACAGAGTAGCCATCATGATATTTGATTGGATTTTGGCTTAAAGACCTCCTAAGACCTTGTCTATGATCTGAAGCAGCAGCTTTATGATACCCATTACTTTGACTCTTTCCACCCATGAAACTCTTCACATCCCTTGAATTGTTTGAATACTGAACTTGATCTACATCACTCTGCAAATATAAAACCCAAATACAAATAATTTCATATCAACAAGCCAAATGTATACACCATGGAAAATGGCTCATAGGCTGCTCCTGCTGATTCAAGATGGACAAGTCAAAAGACCAATCAAGCCATTCTTTTGAAACAAAAAAAATATGCAATAAGTTGAAGATGTCAAATTCAATCTTTAAAACCAGTCAAGCATGGTCCTGTTGCTACAAAGTAGTCACATAATTAACAGCTGAAATCGTTATGGAGTGATAATTATAGCTTTTGTAACTAAAAAGTTGAAAAAGTTCCTAATAAATCGTATCACATCACACAAGAGGGCCCAGAGAGAAACTAGTGTTTATAAAGATATCAAGCAGAAAGTACGAAATTAAACGATTTTATACAAAAAGTGATTTTACCTCGGGATTGTCAATCCGGCGACGGACAACAGAGAGCGAGCGTCGCCGCCGTGAATTCTCCTTTTCACGATCTGCCCCAATTGCTCTACCCCTAATTGAATTACCACTGTTCTCGCCGGAATTCACACTCTCTCGCGGTTGTCTAGACACCGACCGTCGCCGGCTCGAATTGTTGCTTCCCGGATTCAATCCACCACTCTTACTGGTAATTTCTCTCGCCGACGGCTGCCTTGACAACGACCTCCGTCGTCTCGAGCTTTCGGTTTCCGCATCCAATCTCCGTAAGCCACCGTTACCACCAGAACCAGCCCTAGATACAGACCGGCCACGCCTCTGCGAATGTGTCAACTCTCCTTCTCCGCCGCCGGATTTCTTCGAGCTAGATCGTCCTCTTTCTCCGCTGCTAATCCCGCTCTCGCCGGAGAGCGATTCGAAAAACTCGACGGCTAGGTCATCGAGGCTGATTTCAGCGAATCCAGAACCTCTCACGGTATTGACGAACTTCCCCTTTCTCATTGGAGTCACTTCGGCGTCTGGATCCGGCATGCGGTGGGAGAAACGGCTCAAACTCCGGTACCTCCTGGGGATAGACCTCCGTGTGGAGTAAGAGGAGTCGTCGCCACTCTCGGAAGATTTAGCCGGTGGTGTAGTTCGCTTGGTCGTGGAATTGAGAGAAGAAGTCGCCATCGGAAGGAGGATTCAGCTACTGGAGGAGGAGGAGCGGATGGTTCGACATTTTGAATTGTTGAGCTGTTCGAGGAATCAAATGCATATGCCCAATTAATTTCAATTTTGACTTCAAATCAATTCGAATTTTAAAATATCCGTTTTTTTATTTATTTATTGTTTTCATAAATCAGTCTAAATTGTACAGTATCATCATCGACCTGTACGCTCGGATATTTGGGTCGGTTCAGGGTTAAGACCAGTTTCAAATCTTTCGGTTATGATCTCCTATATATTAAAAGAGAAGCACTTTTAAAGAGAAACCTTAAATTTGTAGAATATTACAATAGTGCTATTTTGCTGATGTGTCAACTTTATATTCATTTTCAGCTATTGTTTTTAAAAAGACTTAAATTACTAAACTAATTACATAATATGCCATTGTATATTTTAGGTCCATAAATATGTTATATTTTATTTTTTTAAATAAATTCAAATGCAATAATATTAAAATTAATAATTTAATAAAATAAAATTTATTTAATACTAAATATAATATACACGAAATTTATTATATACTATTTTTAAAATACTATCCATATATTTTTTTATTATAAATTTATAATAAAATATATCATATTTTTTTAATATTTACTATTTTTATATTCATAGTAAAACATATAATACTTATTTATGCTTACTACTTTTAAAAAAAATATTTTTATTGATTATTTATAAAACAAAATTCTTATAAAAACAACTGAAAAATTAAAAAATAATATTTTATTTTTCTCAAATTCATAACAAATATATAACACTTTACTAATGTTTACTACTTTTATTAGAAAATATGCTTATTAATTATTTATTAAAAATATTTTTATAAATACGACATAATAATTAAAAATAATATTTTATTTTTCTCAAAAATTTGTTTATTAATTGTTTACTAAAAATATTTTTATAAATACAACAGAATAATTAAAGATAATATTTTATTTTCTCAAAAATCAATCAGAACAAATATAAAAAAATTATAATGATTTTATTCATATATTGTTATAATTATAGCATGCATGAAAATAACTGTAAAAACATATATAATATATTTTAACAATTCATAATAATATATACAAAATATAAATTAAAAATATATGTTATTTTTATCATAAACATCAATTAAAAAGAAAATGATGAATTTTCAAAATTATTATGATATATATTATTTAATATTCAGATTTACTATATAAGGAAATATGATATATTGCATTATGATTTAATTTATATATGATTCTTATATGACAAATATGGTATATAGCATTATTGTTTACTTTTTTTTTGCAAGAGATCATAATATGATAATATGAATATTAATTGTTTATTTTTTAATTAATGTTTGGTTTAACATATATAGTATCAAATTTTCAGCAAGATTTGTTCATGTTTTTTTTTTCTTAGTTTGTGTGTTTTAAATCAATCAATTTAATTACTGTGAAAATTCTATAAATTTATAATATTATGATTTCAATATTTTTTTAATTTATAAAATTATCGGTTTGGAACTAAATAAATTATTTATTAATAATTAATTAAAAATTGTATTTGTTTTAAAAGTTAGTAATATCTTTAAATACTTCACTTTTAAATTGTAGATAAACCATAACATTATTTCAATTTAAAAAAAACAAATCATTATATATTTATATTTTAGTAAATGATCATAGTTATATTTTTATATAAGATTATTTTATGGTAATTATTAATTTATGATATTAATGGACTATATATTTATATATATTTTTTTAAAAAAATATTATCTTACCGATTTGTATCATATTTTGAATAAGTCCAATTTGGGACTAAGAAAATGTTTTAATTTATTTAACTAATAATATTTAATAGATAAGTAACAAACTATTTAACTAATAGTATTTAATTATTTAAGAGTCAAAATTAATTAAATATGTACATAAATTGTATATCCAAATCTTGGACATTGGTGAAAATAATGAATAATATCATCAATTACAGGATATTGAAAATTTGTATGGTAACTTCATATTTTTTACCCATCTATATCATGTGTTATGCATGCTACTTAATTTTTAAATTAATATACATTACTATTACATTATCTTTGTATAATATTATATTAAATTTATATTAATTTAATTATATTATATTTTATGATTTTAAAATTATATTAAATATAAATAAATAACAATTATTTTACCCCGCACAGGGTACGGGTTATTACCTAGTAATTTTATATTTATATAGATAGTGATTGCATTTTTCATTCGAGTTCGGGTTGGCTTCGACTCGGTTGGAATCAACATCTTTAGAATCATTTGTAACCTGAAATATGTGATGAAAACCATTGCTAGTCCTCTTATTTTGATCATACAATGTATAGTTTCATATGAATGTTTCTAGTTTTGCCCTCAACTCGTCTCACCAAATTTATAGACAAAACGGTCTAGAATTGTCTCAACTCAATCCGCATGATGGGAGATACTACATACGAGGGAGGCCTAATTATATGGTTTACCAATCAAGGACCACAAGGAGGATAGACCATTGTTATGCACTTTGCAACTCAAACTACGTTAAACTAGCCTAATCATATGTATCTTAAGCTCTCTTCAAACCATATAAAACAATCATTCTAAAACAGTTATTTTGTTTGAATAAATTTAATATTTAATTCAAAAAAATGTTTATAGTTATGTGTGTAATGGAGAAATGCTTTGTTGTACATTTTTTATCCTCATCAATGTGTTTTTTGTGCCTAGACCATGGCAATACCAACCTAGCCCATCATTAGCTGCCGCCTAGATCTTTCCATGATCCATTCGTTTGGCATGTTAATTCTATCATATACTGTCGTCACAGCTCCTTGGGAGTATAGATTTCCTATCTGAAAATCAACCTGTTGTGCCAGAAACCATGATGTCACCTCTGCTTGTACAATTCACAGTACTTCGTTGTGATGAAGACATCAGTTCAGCCAAGAGCTTAGAGCATGTACCAGCGGTCACCAATGACTCGATCAAAGACTAGGAGGCTTAGAGAATGGTTCAATAAGGCCGTAGAGACCCTCTTGATATACATGAAACTTGGTGATCAGTTTAATACCCCATCCCAACATGGTAACCTTCAAGCAACCACCAAAGCATCTGATATAGACCTATTGACCGATTTTGCACGCTTGAGCCTCAAGGATGATCAGCCTAAAACAAACCAAGGTACGCCTATTTAGTTGGCAGGAAATAGAGCTCAAAACATCAAGAATTTCACCGATATTGTACCGGAGCTTAAAGATACCGCATATACAACCTCATTAGCCGAGAAGGAACAAATAGAGCAAGAAGACGTTTTAAGAAGCAATCAAGAGGAAACACTTGAAGAACTATTGATATATCATGGTTTTTAACCATGGTATAAGTACTTTTTATTGAGTCTTTTTGGTCTTTTTAGAGTCCTAGTAGAGTCTTTGCATGTTATAGCATGACTGAAGCATAATTGGAGGTTTTGGAGCTTTTTGAATCATTGCAAGAATCAACCCCGAAGTTAGCAACTCAGAAGGCGTTGCATTGTACTGGTGACGATTGTCACCACTTATGGGTGATGCTCATCACCCACATCTGAGAGGAATCGCGAAGCCTTATTAAAAGATGAAGAGAAAATTGCAGTTTTGGCCCAGAAGTTTTGTTAATTACAAAAAGGTCCCAGTTTGTTTTTGGCCTGTATATTAGGTTTTTCAGCCACTTTTTATCTTGTATCTTATTTTCTAGAGAGCTTTTGAGAGAGATTTGTAGCAGAGCTTTTGGAGAGACAAATCAGACTCCTTAAGAGCAGATTTTGAACTCTTTCATCTTTATTTCTTATTTCTTTTATGCAATCTATTCTATTCATGATGTTTTCTCAATTCACCATGTCTGAGTAGTTTGTTAGTTAAGTTAAGACTTTTCAAAGGTTGATGAAGAGTTTGTAGAATCGCTAAACTGTTAGAAAAATCTATTGGTTCTTCATCTGTACTTGCATTCATATCGACTTCTGAGATTAATCATCTAGATTTCTAAACCCTAGGTTGTTTAATAGATGTGAGAACATTGTTAATCACCTGAACTACTATTAGATGAGAAAAACGCCTTCTTGCAAAGAGATTTGACTTAGGAGTTTTGTGAACAATTGAAACTTGATCTTTAATGCTTGCTTAACTGGTTAGAATTTGCAAAGAGAATTAGAATTCTGTGAATTAGGCATAGATAACTTCTGCAATGAGAATTGATTAGTTATATCATTGAGTTTTGAGTTTAAGACGGTTTTAATTAATTCCTGCTTGCATGCATTCTACACTCTCGAATTCAACCTGCGAATTGTCCTGACTTTGCGCTTTTAGCTTTCTGAAACTTAAGAGCAATCATAATTTCGCCTGTTTTCAATTACTTTAGTTATTTCACATTACATACACTATTGATTGCTTAACTTAATCCGAACTTGAATTCTATAGTGTAGTTTACTTACTCCCTTGGGATTCGATAACACCTTATACTATAATTGTTTTGCTGTGCACTTGCAGTATTTTTATTTGGGTAAAACCTGAGCCCTATCAAGTTTTTGGCGCCGTTGCCGGGGAGTAATAGTTGCCTATCGATTTTTAGTATTAGGATTTTGTCTAAGTTTTTATTTGTTTACTGACTTTTGCTACTTTTTTTTGTGCTGGTTTCAGGTGTATGCCTAATCGCAGTACCAAAATCAACAAAGAGAAGGAGCTTGTGACTTTGAGCATCGACGAACTAGCTAAGTTGGAAAGGACCATCAAGAAAGCTAAGAAAAAGTCTACAATGGTCACTCCAATCATCTTGGTTGAAGATGCAGAAGGTCACTTAGTTGACAGAGATGAAAATAGGAGGAATGAAGAAGGGCAGAGACTGGATCAGAATGGGAATGTCATAGCTGAACAAGTGGTTCAACAAGTGGTGAATGATGCTGGAGTTGCTGCTGGAAACGCTGCTGGGTGTTTTGTTCAGAGGACTCTAGGACATTACAACAGACCTGACCAGTTTTATGCCAACAGAGCTGCAATCCGCCCTCCTACATTCCAGATGAATGATTTTGAGCTCAAGCCTGCTTATTATCAGCTGGT